TACCTGTCCTAATCTTCTGGCTCTGGCCATAGAATATGCAGCTTCAGGTCTAGTTTACCTGTTTAAGGAAATTTTTTTGAGTGTAGTAGTTTCCGTAGTTTGAGCACACGTTTTGGTTAATTGTCAGAAAAGAATCAATTGATCCAATATGAAACTCTTCTGACTACTGTCTGCCTCAGGTTAGATGATGCCTGCTCAGAGGAACACCTTAGAACCCTCACAGTTTCACCTCGAGCTGTCATAAGGACGTATGCCTAATCCCAAGCAAAAAGCTAGAGATGAGTTTCACGTTGCCACCTGAAGGGGCCAGCATCAGCTGGATGCTATTTCTAATTCACACCTTTAGATGAAACACCTGGTGGTGTCCAGGAACAGTTTGAAGCCAGACTGATCACACTTCTTTTTCTTCAACCTTTCACACAAACCTTCACCTCACTACCTTTATCGTAAAATCACGCTGGCACCTCCTCACCTGTGGCTGATCCACTCAGATAGCTTGGTTTGTTTCCGCCGGGTTTCTGTGAGACCTCTCCATGACCTCAACTCCTCCCTCAGTCTGCACCCAAGAGGCCGTAGCTGACTTGGTCTTCATGGTGGATGGCTCATGGAGCATCGGAACCGAGAACTTTGATCAGATCCGTCAGTTCCTCTACACGCTGGTGGACAGCTTTGACGTTAGTCCTGATCACGTCCGGGTCGGCCTGGTCCAGTACAGCTCCTCTCCACGTACAGAGTTCAAGCTGAACACATTCCAGAGCAAGAAAGGGATCCTAGAATACATCAAGAGGCTACCTTACCGTGGAGGTGGAACCAACACCGGACAGGGCTTGGACTTCATGCTGAACAACCATTTTGTGAATCCGTCCGGAAGTCGAGTAGAGCAGAAAGTGCCGCAGATCGCCGTGGTCATCACCGACGGCAAATCTCAAGACGAAGTGGCGCACCATGCTGAGAGGCTGAGGAGCAGGGGGATCATTCTGTATGCTATCGGCATCAAAGATGCAGATGAAAATGAGCTGAAGCAGATCGCAAACCGGCCGCACAGTCAGTACGTCCACAGCGTGTCAGACTTCTCCGCCCTGCAGGGGATTTCTCAGAACATCGTCCAGACGCTCTGCACCACCGTGGAGGAGGCCAAGAGGCAACTCCAGCAGCTGTCTCAAGGTAAAGAGCTGCAGGTCACAGACAGTGATCTACTAAAGGACTCACAGAAGAAGTCTTTGGTTGGTCCATTTTCATTAAGATGAAACAATGTCAGCCGGATCATGTGGTCCCTGAGGGCCTTATGGCAAACACATGTAAGATGGTTCCTCTTTCAGTCCATCTTCACAGATGTGATGATCTTAGATCCGTCATTCAGCTTTATACATGTGGAATCCTTAACCAAAGTCATTTTCCTAGTCAGATTGAGATCCTTCTAATTTGTATACATGTACCATCTCAGTATCCACCATTAAGTCATTAACAACACTAAATCTACAGAAAATCCAAAATTTTTGCCAATAAAGAAAAGAGGTCTTAGAGTAGCAACAATGATTTAATTCAATTAAATTCAGTTTTTCTATAAACCATGTCATCCCAAGGCACTTTACAGTTCACCAGATCATCCAGTCAAACTGATTCAAAGTTTTCTATCTAAGGAAAACCAGTTTGATTGCATTGACTCATTGATTCAAAGGTTATCCCTCACACTAAGGCTATGCTTGTAGCGACAGTGGAGAGGAAAAACTCCCTTTTAACAAGAAGAAACGGGCTCAGTGTGAGCAGCCATCTGCTGAGGCCCACTGGGGTTAAAGGAGACAGAAGCAGAGATAGAAAAGGAAGCATAGATAC